AGTAGTGGAATTACTAGATCATATGGTATTTCTGTCATCCTGTCTCCTTTGAATTGCCTTTACTCTTTTGTCAAAGATCATTTGACTATATGTGTGGATATATTTTGGATTCTCTCTTTTGTTCCACTGATCTATTTGTCTATTTTTTCATCCATACCACAGTCTCGATTACTGTCACTTTATGTAGTAAGACTGGAAATCAGATAGTGTCAGTATTCTGACTTTCTTTTTCTTTGTATTGGTTATTCCAGCTCTTCTTCCTGTTCATATAAACTTTAGAATCACTTTGTTGATATTCACAAAATAATTTGGTGGGATTTTGATTGAGATTGTGTTGAATCTAACATTGAAAAAATATAATAACCATGAATATAAAATACATATATTTAACTTTTAATATACAATTTTTATTAAAGATGAAAAAAGAAACACTAAGGGTTTTGTGAAGTTGAAGTGCGACTCGGATTAGGAAATAAATGAAGAAGAAAAATTCTCTTTCTCCCTGTCTCTTACACACACATTTCCACTTGCTATTCTAATGTGTGAATCACAAGCCTTCAGATTAGCACAGAATCATACATCTTAGTAATTGAGAAGCTTGGGTAGAAGTGAAGGATATAAGTATATGGGTACAGCCACGTAATTTGGAGAGATTCCTTTAAAACTGCAATAATGATTATGCAGTGATGTGATTATTAGGTGTGTGGATTGAATATCAGGTGCTGCTATTGTATGGATTCAGTTTAAATGGGTTTTAAAAAAGCTTATCTCTTTGAGATTCCTTTTTAGTTATTCTGATCCCATTTCTGGGGGATGATTTTATTGGCTGTACTTCTAGAACAATGTTAAATAATATTGGTGATGGTGGACAATTCTTTCTCACGCTTCTATAACTACTGGACTCATTTTTGCTGTAACCCATACCTGTATTGGTTCACTTCTTCATATTCAACAGCCTGCTTGGCCTGTGGTCAGCTACATAGAGTCTGCCTGTGCCAACACACTACTAACTGTCCAGGGTATTCCCGCAAACAGCATGCAGTCTTCTGTTGCTTTCACTGTCTGAGTTCTCTACCAGAAATCCACGATTGTTAAAATCTGTATACAAATACAGATTTATGCCTGTCAACTTATTATGAGGTGTTGGGTCCAATAATTCCTCTGTTGTGTCATATTTATTTTTCTTTACATTCTTTATGTCTTCAACCCTCGGTTTGTGCTTGTACTCTTGGAAAGTGATTTTGCCTCTCATTCTGTTTTAAAGGTTCAGATTTCCATGTGTGAACTGCATCATTCTCTCAGAATGTGGAATCTCAAAATCCTCATTATCTTTCTGTCCTATTTTTTTCCTCTCCTGTCTTTAATAGTGTCCTTTTATTTTCTGAAAATAACCCCTGTTTTATATTTGCTTTCTGTTCCATCTTTGTTTTCTTTTGCCTCTTGACCTTTTCAGTTATCTTCATTTTTTTCCAGCAAAGTTCAGTAAGGTGTTAATGTTATTTCCAATGTATTGTCAGATGGTTTCACACCAAATACACAAGTATAAACAAATTGTGTTAAAATTTACCAATTGGGGAATATAGGTGAAGGTTGTATGGCTTTATAGTATTCTTTTGACATTTATGTTAGAAAATTTTTTCAATATAAAGAAGTTGGAAATTATCGTAACAACAATAATACAATAGCAATTAGTTTTTATTTAACATTTACTATACGTCAGGCACTGTTCCAAACACTTTAACATATACTACCTCATTTGAGACTTATACCAACCTAATGAGGTAAGTACTCTTATTATCCTCATTTTATAGATCAAGAAAATGAAGGATTGCTAAAGTAACTTGTCCTGTTACTAGCTAATTGACAAAGCTGAGATTTGAACTCAGGTAATCTGTGCAGATAATATAAAAATAGGACATGGTCCTGCTTTCAAAGGGCATGTAATCTAATTAGAGGTAACAGCTATATAGATTTCTTTAATTGTACTAAATAAATTAAGGATCCTAAAGTGCTAGTTTTATCTAGTTGAGGGGATCAGGAAGGGCTTTAGGAGGAAGTAGCATTTTAGTATGAGGAGAATATGTAAGTTTCATTTTGGATCTCATAGTGGAAGTATTTGAAATGCAACCTAAGGTATATCAACTTTATTTCGCACTGGAATTTCGCACAAGAACATTGAGAGTTAAAGAAATTATGGCCCAAAGATATTAAGTATTTTCAGTAGGTAGTTACTGTCAGTCAGGATTTAAACCTTAATCCTAGGCAAGAGGTGGCTCTTTTATACCACTGTGGTTTTCTAGATACCAAATCTTTGACCCTATATTATTAGTGATAAAGACTTCTGGCTCTTCCTTTGAACGTTTTTAATTCATTAGTTCCTTGCATGTGGTTAATATTTAGTAAACCTAAAATAAGCCTTGCTCTGTACCTGTTTCTTATAGATTGCAGACCAGTCTCCTTCAGTCTCTTCCCTCTCTAATCTTTGTTTTATTCACTTGGTAACATAGCAGGTAAAGTTTAATTTGATTATTAACTGGGATTTTTTAATGTAACTGCTTCCAGATTATAATTTTAAAGTAGTAGCTAAAGAACTTTAGAATTTCAGCGATGGAAGCTTGAAAAGAAACAACCTAGGGGTTAAAATCTATGATCCTTAATATTCAGTGAAAGCAACAGCAACAAAAATAAATAAAAAGCTAACTGGTCTCTGACATAGAGGAAAAGCATATATAGTCTGTGTCTTCATGGAGTTTATAATTTGGCACAGATTGCAAATGAACACAATATACTATGTCAGGTAATATGGTGGGGCATACTAGAAGGGCTCTATAAGGACACCTGTGGAAGTACCAAGCCCTGCTTTGGGGGATTAAGGAAGCTTTCCCTAGGAAATGCCAACTAATTTAAGATGAAGAAGAGTTACCATTCTCCAGATCCAGTGTGCAGTGGAGGGCAGGGTGGGTAGCCTGGCCAGGAGTACAGAAAGATTGACATAGGTTTGGAGATGGAGGAGATTGTAGCATGCTTCAGGCAATCTCAGGTAATTGACTGTGGATTAAGAAGTCAGTCTGTGGGAGGCAGATGTGTTAAGGGATGAAGTTAAAGAATAAATTGGATTCAGGCTATCTTTGGGCTCTTAAGCCATATTTAAGAGTATCCCTGTCCCTGAAAAACATGCCTTGCACTTTGTGCCATTGCTTTTCATTTTCATTCTCCAGAAAGCCTTCACTTTTCATTCCAGTCAAATTCAAACCTCATACTTTATAGTTCACCCAGGTTCTTTTCTGTCCAAGAAAATCTTCCAAAGTATGTCAGCTTTTTTCTTGGAAAACATCGCTTATCTCACTCTTCATAGGCCAGATGATTCTATATTTTTGTTTTACTGCTTTGCTACCTTATTATTACTATATATTTTTTATCATTTCATGTATAGATTGTCCATTTATTCAGTAATGAATGGTTAAATCATATTAATTGATCAGTATTTGAAATTTAATAATTCAACTATAATTTGAACCAATAAAAATAAAGCAGAATTATATATAAATACATTAGGTCTTAACTATGGATCAAAATTTAAAAGTTCTTAAATTTTTTTTCCTTGGTTAAAACAAAAATCAGACTTGAAATCAAATATGAAAAATAGTTTCAGAGAAATATAATCTTGTAAAAATCAAACTTATATTGAATATTTAAGAGTTTGGGGATTTGGGAATATTTGTTTAAAAACTAGAGAATTTAGTGAAAACCATGTTTCTACTTTTTCAGTCTGGTTAAAAATTAATGTGTGTGGCTTTTGCAAATTTAATGCATCATGAATTTAACTTTAATCCTGATATGTTAACATAGCCATTATATTGGAGAGAATACTCTTTCAGTGTGTTATTTTATATATTTTATATGTTTTTTATTTTTATATTTAAATATACATATATATGCATATATATTGACATATATAAAAAGTTCATGCCTTAAGAACCAACTGGAATTATGTATTATGTGAATGAAGTAATTTCAAAATTGCTGTAGCTTAATGACTTCTAATTAAAACATTGTGTTTTTCACATCTTTGAAACACATCAGCCCTAGTTGTTTATTTTTTTTCAGCATGTATATTGTATGAAACTAAAGGGAAGTTTAAATTTTCTTAGAGTCAATTTTTTTTTTAAAGATTTTATTTATTTACTTGACAGAGAGAGACACAGCGAGAGAGGGAACACAAGCAGGGAGAGTGGGAGAGGGAGAAGCAGGCTTCCTACCGAGCAGGGACCCTGGACCCTGGGATCAAGACCTGAGCCGAAGGCAGCCACTTAACGACTGAGGCACCTAGGCACCCCTTAGAGTCGATTTTTTTTAAATATAGTTTAAGATTAGAAATACGTGGTGTATATAAGACTTTTTTAAAACCAAGTTTAACTTTTATTGGAAAAGAAGATTTATCAATAATGTAAAAACAAAATAAGAAGTAACAGTTCGTCTGTCTTAACTGTTTTCTGGGACTTACAAGAGACCGGAATCTAGGGGTATGTGACCAAACTGGGAATTAACATAGGCAGCATAGTTATGGGGCTAAAAAAAGATGTGAAGTTTAAGAGGCCAATTAAAGTCAAAAGCTAAAGCGCAGACAATCTGTTCAGGCAAGGAAAATAAGTATAGTTTTTTTCAGGCAAGGCCTTTCCCTAGAGTTTTTTGTTTCTCTCCATTTCCTAAGGAATAAGGTTTATTCACCAATGTGTAAAATGCACAAAAAGGGGGAGGAGTGAGAAGATAATTATATTAATGAGAACTAGAACTGATATCATATCAAACCATGTCATTATGGTTTATATGATTGGAAATTTTGGTGGAAATAAATTCAGTGTCTGAGGAAAGCAAAAGTCAAAGGCTATGTGATAATGATAAATGATTTGTAATAATCACTGCAATAATTTCATTACCCTATTTCTTTCTGAAATTATATTGTATATCTTTTCCTCCAACTTCTTCCCCTGCCCTTCCAGAGGCTCTCCCTATAGAGAATCTCCTTTGGGTCATTTTGAAAGCTATGGCGGGACCCCCTTTTTCCAGGCTCAGAAGATGTTTGTAGATGTACCCGAAAATACAGTGATACTGGATGAGATGACGCTCCGGCACATGGTCCAAGATTGTACTGCTGTAAAAACTCAGTTACTCAAACTGAAACGTCTGTTGCATCAGGTGAGTATATGTGAACATTTTTAGCTCTGAAATTTTGAATTGCAAAATGGATTAACTTTACTTTTTTTTTCAGTTAATTGGGTTTCTAACATCTATTCAGATTTCTGTAGAAATAACGCTTGTAAATAATACATAACAAACTTTCGTTGGAGAAAACATGAGATTTTGTGTGATATTTCAGTACAGTCCCCAACATTTATGAGCTGTGTGGTATTTGGTAAGCCAATTTTTCTCCTGTTTGTTTATTTTCGTAGTACCCACATTTAAGATTATTGACAGAATTAGAAATAGTAGTTGTAAATTTAGAGATCTAATACCTGAAGTATGGTATTCAGGCATTCAGTCATCAGTGGCTGCTACTATAATTTCAGCTAAGTAGGAAATAAACAGCAGTTTTTACTTACATAATCATAGTCATATAATTTAATTTTTGTTTGAAAGCTTCAAGTTTAGTCTTCCTCAGTCCTTTCATTTTTTTAATTTTTTTATTGTTATGTTAATCACCATACATTACATCATTAGTTTTTGATGTAGTGTTCCATGATTCATAGTTTGTGCATAACACCCAGTGCTCCATGCAGAACGTGCCCTCTTTAATACCCATCACCAGGCTAACCCATCCCCCCACCCCCCTCCCCTCTAGAACCCTCAGTTTGTTTTTCAGAGTCCATCGTCTCTCATGGTTTGTCTCCCCCTCCGGCTTACTCCCCTTCATTCTTCCCCTCCTGCTATCTTCTTCTTCTTCTTTTTTTTTTTTTTTCTTAACATATATTGCATTATTTGTTTCAGAGGACAGATCTGTGATTCAACAGTCTTGCACAATTCACAGCGCTCACCATAGCACATACCCTCCCCAATGTCTATCACCCAGCCACCCCATTCCTCCCACCCCCTGCCACTCCAGCAACCCTCAGTTTGTTTCTTGAGGTTAAAAATTCCTCATATCAGTGAGGTCATATGATACATGTCTTTCTCTGATTGACTTATTTCACTCAGCATAACACCCTCCAGTTCCATCCATGTCGTTGCAAATGGCAAGATCTCATTCCTTTTTATGGCTGCATAATATTCCATTGTGTATATATACCACATCTTCTTTATCCATTTATCTTTTGATAGTCCTTTCATTTTTTTGAGAAAATCTAGACTCATAGCAGTGATGTGACTTGTCCAAAGTCCAAAGACACAAGGTGAGCTGATGTTAGAACCTGACTTCTCATTCAATAGTACTTTTTTTTTGTTCAAACTTACAGACAAGGTCAGATAAATAGCAGGAAACTAAGGAATAAAATACTAATTTTAAATCATGGATATCTTTTGGTTAGTTTTAAAGCTGTGTTTATTTTTTGTAGACTAGCCACGTTTTTGCTTAAAATTATGGTTGAGAATGAACAGTCTAGCTTCTCTGCTGAATTTATTTTCTAGATTACCTTTCTCAGGATTGTATGTTATAGCTTCTTATGAACAGGGACCAATTCTTAGAATTCCTCGTGTCAATCAAAACCAAACTCTTGATATATGCTCAGTAAAGGCTAGTTGAAGTGAAGGCTCCTGTGTTAGTAATAGTAATGACGATTTGTGTAAATATCCTGTTGAATTCATGAAAATTGTTATGTAAGTACTTGATGGTGGATTCTTTGGACTACTCTTCTCCATTCTTGTGGATGTTGGATTACTTTTTGAAAATAAACTCTGTGCTATGGCTGGGAGCAAGAAAGTGGAAGATCTTTTTCAGATCTGAGATCCTGAGACTTCTTTAGAGGGAGAAAGAGATTTCATGATTGAAATATCCAAACATAGAGCTTAGGGTTTTAACTGTAACTAGGAGATATACTCTGGTTTATAGTATTTTTCTGCTCACTAGTCTGGGGAGATTTTCTTATCAGAAGCTTCAGAGTCAAAGGAAAGAGAAGGTAGAAGTGGTGGGGAGTAGCTTAAATATGTTCGATATATACTTTGAATCAGTCCTTGTACTACCTATACCACATACCCTCTTTTTTGTCTGGGTTTATTGCTCTGAAACATGAAGCACGATAAATACCAGCTAACCAGACCAGGCCTAATCTCTAATAATGGGAGAAATAGTATAATTCAGGAGAGAATACGTGAAATGATAACCAATGATAAAATACCATAAAAACAGAAAACTTTTTTTAGACACATTAAGAAAAATTGTGACTCTCTTAATGGTTCTTTTTTGTCATTATGACCTCTGAAATGTTATAGTAAACACTGGTTAAGTTAACTTTACTTTTTGTTTATGCAGTGAAAACAAAATTATGAGAAGAAAAATTGCAGAATCTTTTTAGGGCATCTTTGAAATTTCCCAAAATGCTAATAGAAGTTAAAAGCTGAGTGAGTTTAAGATTTCATATAACTATCTCTATTTTTTCCAGTTTAATATTACTAAATTTAAAGAAGTTCAGTATGATACATATACATAGTTTTAAAACATTCACATAGTATTTAGAGACTTAATGAAAATGCACTATTTCTGTCCTTTTCTCCACCTCAATTAACCTTTTTAGTCTGAACAGATTACCATCTGAAGATTTCTCTAGAGCTATCATGCAGGGCTTTCCTTTTGTCATATTCTGGGATTGGGTATACTATTTCTTGTGTATCTTTTTTTGTTTGTTTGTTTATTCCCTCATTTTGCTAGAGTATATATTTACTTTCTAAGAGAGGGCAAATGGATGGTAAATTTTAGTTACTGCATTACTGAAAATTTCTTTTATCTACTCTAATATTTGATATTAATGATTTGGCAGGGATGGAAGAAATGAGTTTTCCTTTAGAAGTCTGAATGCATTGCTTTTCTAGGATTCAGGTTAGCCACTGAGAAGAGTCTACATTCTGATCCATTTTACATTTTATATTGCCCGTTTTTATTTTTCTGAGAGATTTGTAATTTTTTTTCTGGCACTTTAATCTTTTATTTCTGGCATTATGTAGTTTCGCAGAGATGTCCTGGGATTTGAGTTTTGCTGTAGTTGTTTATATGTTTCCCACTTAATGTATGGATAATTTAGTAGACTCTTTGGAGATTCATATTGTGTGAAATTTTCTTTTTTTTTTTAACTTCACTTTCTCTGCATCTTTCTGGAATTCTTGGTAATTACAAACTGGAACTTCTGAGTTGATTTTCAATCTTTCATCTTTTTCTTTCATATTTTCCTTTGGATTTGATTATCTTTTCTGGTATATTTGCTCAACATCATATTCCAGCTCTTCATTTCTGTGAATTACTTATCTTAGCAATTGTATCCTCATTTCCAAGAACTCTTTATTATATACCACTCCTTATTTATATCATTCAATTTTTGTTTCATCACTAACTATATTAAGTAGAGTGTTCCTGTTAGGTTTTGTTAAGATTTCTTAGGTTCATTGTATTATCTCTCTCTTTCCAAATAGTCATTTTGTTCTTTGTGTTTATTTTGGTTTCTTTCTTTTGGAATCTTTTTTCAAATATCTAATGATTATTTGTTGTTTATTAATATTTAAGAGTGAGGAATTAAAAAGTTGATTCAGGACTCTTTGTACATGGGCTGGGCTGGTCAACTGGCTGGCTTGATTTTATAGTACTAGATGGATAGTGGAGGACCCTGAGTATCTCTTGAGTGGAGGATTTTTCTTTCTTAGGTTGTTCTATTTTCTCCAGAGAAGCAACCTCTGATTTTTTTTGCTTGGAATAGAGGTAGAAGACTGGAAGTCTGTTCTTGCCTTATGCAGACTTCCAGTTAATTCCCATCATCTTTAACTCTGATCGGTCATATTCTTACTTTTTTCAGTATCTAGCATTTTGACCCTGTTTGGGGTTGTGGGGAGCAAATTGGTTCTCTTTTTATCCATGTTCCTCATCTATACATACTTCAGGTCTTTTTCCAGTCCTGCTAAATCACTTATTAAAGTTTCTGTCCCCTTTGTAATGCTCTTTATCATTATGGTTTATATGTTTTTAAAAATTTCTTCTCTGTTGGGAAGCCTGGGTGGCAAAGTGGTTAAGCGTCTGCCTTCAGCTCAGGTCATGATCCCAGAGTCCTGGGATCAAGCCCCACATTGGGCTCCCCGCTTGGTGGGAAGTCTGCTTCTCCCTCTCCCGCTCCCCCTGCTTGTGTTCCTTCTCTCACTGTCTGTCAAATAAATAAATAAAATATTTTTAAAAAAATTTCTTCTCTATCATTTTAATATAGGTTTAAAAGAAAAGATAAAAGTATCTCTAATCAGGGACACCTGGGTGGCTCAGTTATTAAACATCTGCCTTCGGCTCAGGTCATGATCCCAGGATCCTGGGATCGAGTCCCTCATCGGGCTCCCTGCTCAGCAGGGAGCCTGTTTCTCCTTCTCCCACTCCCCCTGCTTGTGTTCCCTCTCTTGCTGTCTCTCTCTCTGTCAAATAAATAAATAAAATCTTAAAAAAAAAAAAGTGTCTCTAATCAAAAGTCCTCTTCTTTTGGGGCACGTGGGTGGCTCAATTGGTTAAGCATCCGCTCTTGATTTTGGCTCAAGTCATGATCTCAGGATGGTGAGATCGATCCCTGCCTTGGGCTCTGCACTAGGTGTGGAACCTGCTTAAGATTCTCCCTCCCCTTCTCCTCCTCCTCCCTTTCCCCCTGCGCCCCCCCTTTTAAAAAAAAGTTCTCTTCTTTTTAAAAATATAGAGAAAATATTTTTAAAATTACTTTAGCTGTGTGAATGCTTCCTTTTGAAATTTCATTGTGTCACAGCTCAAAATTTGATTATTCTTTGTACGTTCTTGTTGTTTGCTGGATTTGCTATTAGAGAGGTGGGGTTTTGCACTCATTTGCAAACATAAGAACTTAAATAAGCACTGGTAACCAGTATCTGCTTGGGCCTACTCATAAGAGATTGATTATTATAGGGAGGAGTCACCCTGATTTCAGTAAAATATGAAGCCCTGAAAGATTTTGACTGAGTACTAGCTCAGAAAGAAGAATGTCCACAAAGAAAGAGGTAGTTGCATTATCTCTTATGTT